TAGGTAAATTGAAATTCGCCTTATTGGCATCAAATGCTCAAGGTCTCTGTAGATGAATGGCAGCAGAAGGAATTTGGATTGTTGTTGGTTATTGTTAATTATCAGGTTCTTGGTACAAATGAGAAATATAGCCTCTCCTGATCTGAGAGAGCACTCTTTGTCATGGTTCATGTACGTGATGCCTTGGAAGAAAGTAAACTTGACTCACCAAGTCACCATACCCATGTTTTTCACGTCTGACAACAAAGCCTAGAATTTATGTGACTCCATTCTTCCCTGTGTAGCTCCCTCCAATTCAAACTGGTTAACATGTTGATTCCTACTAGGCAGTACTTCCCATTCTTCTGTTCAGTGGAGCCCATCTCTTTCAAGCCAAGGAGAGTCTATTTCTGAGATCACTTCCCACTATATAAAGGGTTAAAATCAACCTGACATTCCTGCCCATGTCCTCTTAGGGCTGTAACAGTAAGACTTTCTACGATTCCTTTTCTTCTGTTTATCTTTGGGTTCAGAAAGTGGTTTTGTCAAACACTGCGGTTCTGATTTGTTTTTGTATCACCCTCATCCTGCTTATTACGTTATTCTTGTCAAAGTCAGGTATTCCTTTCTTGCCTCACATTACAATGCTGTCTTCTGGGGCCTGTAGATACCTAGAGAAGAATGTTAAAGAATATGTCAGGAAACCTTGTGCAAAATGGAGGTTCTATCTGGGACTTTCTTGCCAGAGTATATGGCATGGGTCTCTGTGACACACTTCGTATTCCAAGGTGTTGGTCTTCCCAGTCCCCCCACGTGTGCTCATATCCCAGACTTTTATATTAATTTTGTTCTTTCACAATTGCCTGTATGTAAACCATGTATTTTTTGCTGCTTTCTCCCTCACTGCCTCTCATTTCCTTCCAGTCCCTACCAGTCCCTCTCCACTTTATGCATTTACTACTTTTGAATTTGTTTCACATCCCACAGTTTAATCAGCGATGCCTCTATGTTCCTGAGTTTGGAACTAACCCTTTGAGCCTCATGGGTTCAACAATAGTTACATAGAGAGATACCATGCTTCCGTCTCTCCCAGAATCTATCAGTTGCCAACAGATCACCAGTATGTGGTAGGCCCCCTTGAGACCCTTTTCTCTTCATAGCTATTAAGAGAGCCCAGTTGCTGTGAAGCCAGTGACAGTATGCACAAGTTCTGTGAATTCATGCTTGCCATGTCTACATCTTGCTTAGAAAATAGGATTTCATACCCTACTTTCCATGCTCTGGCTCTACCTTTTTTTTTTCCTACTCCTGCTGCAGTGTTCACTAAGCCCAGTCCTCGGCAAGAGCAGCCCGTGTTCTTACCTACTGAGCCATCTCTCCAGCTTTTGTAGCCATAGCTCTTTGTATTTATGTCCTTTCACTTCAAGAAGAGGTTCCTGGGGCTGGAGAGATGGCTCAGTAGTTAACAGTACTGATTGCTCTTGCAGAGGACCCGGGTTCGATTCCCAGCACCCACATGGTTGCTAAGAACCATTCTTAACTCCAGTTCCAGGGGAATCCAACACCCTCTTCTGACCTCTGCATGACACAGTGCACTCACATACACGCAGGCAATACATTCGTACACATAAAATATCTTTTTAAAAATACAGGCTCCTGTGTATAAGGCCTTTGTCTGTGAGTATATAGATATCTAAGGAGTGATTACATGCTATGTCAATAGAGCTAAGCAGTCAGTCTTTCTTTTGACTCTCTCTGGTATTATATCTTGAAACCCTGCCAGTCTGATGAGAGTAATTTCACCTCTGAAAACATTTTTATAAATAAGTCACCATCCTAAGTGTGGGGTAAGATACAGAGAAACTGTAGCAGAGGTGAGTGGGCCCCAGATACTTTGGAAGAAACAACCACCAAAACGAACGCCACAAAACAAAGCAAAATTTGCCTTTTTATCTGTCTCTATTAGGAGAATTTGATTTTCTGCATTGAGATTTACTTTCTGCAATGAAGCAGAAGGCCATGTGCTTTCTGTCTGTGCAATGTTGTTGAGTGAGACAGGGCTTCACATCAACTCAATTGCTCTGGGATAAAGCCTTTCTCAACCTGCCTTGATGTACTGTATCAGTCATACAGTCACAGAATATTCTTTCATTGAATACTACATTTGTGATGGCTAATCCTGGGTGTCAACTTGACTGGATCTGGAATTAACTGAAATGGGAAAGATCTTCTTAATTAGATCATCTGAAGCTGGAAGACACACCCTAAATGTGGGTGTTACCTTCTGATGGCAACCCGTATAAAAGGCCACAGCAGAGAACACCTGGCTTCTTGCTGCTTGCCTTCTTTTTTGCTGGTGAGTTCATCTTGCTGCTGTCGACTGAAGACTAGCTGATCTTTTGGAATTTGTCAGGCCTTCAGTGCCAGATTGGGACTACTGAGACATCCAGACTTGTGGACTGAGCGACTACAGATTCTCAGCCTCTCCAGTGTGGTGCAGCCATTGTTGGACTACTTGGACTCTATTCTGTGAGCTAAGCTGATAAATCTCTATACATATATATTCATTCTACCGGTTCTATTTCTTTGGAGAACTCTAACTAATACAACATTCATTTTGAGACTCTTCTTTCTTCAGATAGGGATATGATGTAGTACATAAAGCAAATATTCCTTCTTTCTAACAATTAAAGATGTTGAAGTACTATGATTAAAACTGAAATAAAAGCCACACTGTGTCCTTTAGTGGAGTGGAGCAATGCAGGTTCTAGACATGTGGTCTAGTCTCAACTCTGTCACTTATTAGCTCTATGAACATGGGCACATAAAAATACCTTCCAAGGGGACTAGTGAAAAAGCTCAGTGGTTAAGAGCACTGGCTGCTCTTGTAGAGGGCCTGGGTTCAATCCCCAGCATCTGCATGGCAGGTAACAACTGTCCTTAGTTCCAGTTCCAAGGGAATCTGACGCCCTCTTCTGAAATCTGTGGGCACTGCACTACATGGGTACAGTTACATGCATGTAGGCAATAAACTCATACACATAAAATAAAAATGAAACACTTTAAAAAATACTTTGTAAGCCTCAGAGAAGTAAAGTTTAGTAGTCTCCTTCTAGTAGTACTCAAAATATTTATGCTGAATGCACATCCTCTTTGGTGATTTCCTTCTCCACTTATCAGAGAGTATTGCTTATTAATATGATAATCTTGAGGTGATTCATTGTGATGAATGTATACCTGAGATTCATTTGCTTAATTTGGGTCTATGAGATGCCACGTGTGAGCATTCTAGCTCACCAAAAAAAAAACCTCAAGCAAAATATTTTGCCATGATACTGTTTAGCAGTAACAGAGCTCCACATTATCTCTCTCGAGAAACTCGGAAAATTTCCCCTGGCTTATAATAGAAGTCTCTTCTAGACTCTACCATTGCAGAAAATGGGTGTCTTTCACTAATCATCCCCATTACAAAGTATAAAGAATTCTCAAGAACATTATTACCCAATTAATGTTTCAGTAAAGCACAAACCTTGAAAAAGAGATCAGAGTCACTATGATTTTAACTTTTCATACATTCTTTAATACCACAGCAAAAACAGATACACACCTCTTCCATGTCTGAAAAGGCATGGGATAATGCAAAACACGGACTGAAACCCTCATACTTTTGTCTATCTTCCTTTTTCTCCTACTTCCAATTTTTTTTTAAGTTTAATTCCACATTATCTTACTGTAAAGTACCAGACTTATTTACAAAACACTGATTTGTATTTCAAATCAGTCCAAACTTTGAACACTCAACTCAACTTGGTAAACAGCAATGAAGTCATTATCTACAATACTGTTCTATCTTCTGACCCCAAGTTAACACTACGATAAAAGATACCAAACAACTCTATCAACAGTTTGTGCAAGTATAATGAGAACAACGATGAAAAGACCTTTTCAACCACATAGTGGAGACTATCTTAGATCTCCGTGGCAGGTTTCGCAGCTGGACATTCTTTGCCTTTGCGCTTGCGCTTGCCCTTACCCTTGCCCTTAGTGGGCCCCTGGGCTGCACTTTCAGCTTCAGCTTTCCATTTCTTTTTCTTCTGAGCTTCTTCATAATTGTGTGGATAGGCAGTAGAACCGGTTTTACTGACATGGCTCAAAAACTCTATCACCTTTTTCTTGCTGGCTTCAGCATGGGCTCTTGGACCCCACAGGAACTCAAAACGTGGAGGATCACTTTTGGCTACCTGACGGTACTCCAGATACTTTTCCTGCACTAGATCTTGAGTGATGAGCTTCCTGATATCACCAAAGATGAGGTGTGGGACTTCATCATAGACTCCTAACATATTCAGGAAGTTCCAGACCTCTTCTTCTGTGGCACAGTAATCATTTAAGTAGATCACACTCAGGAGAGGAATCAGAATGCCTTTGTTGGGAAGATCCAGCTTGCTGCTCCTACTTCCATCATCTTGGAACTCTAACTTGCTGGTAATCATGTAGGATTGACCATTGGGCTGGGTTTCTTTCAACTCAAGGCCGAAAAGTATATCTAAGCGATAGGCAGCTTTCTTGAAGATATCAGGGAATTGCTCCTTGAAACCTCTGTTGATAACTTTCAGCATCTCTCCCTTCCTTATGGGCTTATTGACTTTGTATCTGCAGATCATGTACTCCATCAGCATTCTCGTCTTCTTTGTTACAAGATCATTTTTTAGGCTCTCAAAGGAGAATGGAGCCCTAGACGGGTTTTCATTTTCATCCCCTTGGCCCTTGGCACCTTTACCAGACCTTCTGTGGGCCACTCCTCTGCCAGCAGAGGTTGTGTGTACCACGCCCTGAGATTTCTGAGGGAGGCCAGCAGTAGAAGTGCTGGGAACAACATCTCCAGAAGCTTGATCAGAGCAGGAAGGTGACTCTCCTTTCTTTGCTGTCTCAGCCTGAGCATCCTTGAGCCCCTGGGCCTCAGCTCGGATCTGGTGGCGTTTCTCACGAGCACGGGCCTTACTCTTCTGTCCCCTGGGCATGATGGCTATGATCAGGGACAGTAGGTAGTTTGAATAGCAGAGTAGGTGACTGTGTTAACTGGATCAAGAAAATAATTTACTATAAGCACTTTTTGTAGGTTCTAAACACCTTAGCTTTCACCAATACTTCCCCTTTCCTTTCCCAGAGTTTGGTGACAGTAGGACTCTAAGAACATACTGTGTTCCTGATCTGGCCATCTTACACATACTTGCTGAGGTACAGTGAGGATCCGTCTTGTTTGGTGTTTAGCACCCTAATTTCTACACACATCTAGCACTGATACTCTCCTTGGTACATCAAAGACCCCTTAGAACTTGAAGAGCCTTCAGTTCACTGCCTTAACTGGGGACCATGGGTGCTGAGAATTCAGTGAAGGCATTTTTGAATTGGGGTCTTTTGGGATCTATAACCCTCTTTCAGTTTCCTTATCTAGTTTTCTGGTAAAGTTTGACACTGGACACAGATTTTTTTTTTGTGTGTGTGTGTGTGTGTGTGTGTGTGTGTGCGTGTGTGTGTGTGTAACAATAATTATAGAAAAAGAGGTCATGAATGTGTGAGGGACTGTGTGGGTGGCATGGGAGGAGTTAGAGGCGGGAGTGGTGAAAAGGATGTGAATATAGTATACTCATACATGAAATGCTCAAAAAAGTAAATTAAATAAAGAAGACTGGTTTGAATGGAGACACTGTAAATTGGTAAAGTGCTTGCCTTGCAAGCAGAAAGACCTGAGTTTGAGTAATTCATGCCAAAAAAAAAATGTGGAGCATGGTGTCTTCCATATGTATTCTCACTCTGGTATATGCTGGAGACATGGGGGTCCTGGGTTAACTAATCAGCCAGATTAGCCTATGGGTAATCTCCAGACTAATCATTGAACCTCTTTCAAAAAATTGGTGGGTAACACCTAAGGAAGGACACTCAAGTTTATGTTCTGGCTTATACACACAAGGACACACATGTTCATGGACCTATTTACACATTCACCCAACCACACAGAAAGATGATTACAAATACACGTACACTATGATGTGACAGACATAGGGAGAAAGTCACAACCCTTACCTTTGCCCTCTGGGGCTCAGAATATCCTAGGAACCCTGACTGTGGTTAATCAGTCCAACATGTTCAGGTCTCACAATAGTATTAGAGTTGTAATTGGCCTCTTTCTTTCTGGAAATGGTTCCCTCATGTTCATATACGTTACTGTGGTTAAGTACTGAAAACTAAGGATTAAATGGGCCTACTTTAACTGTCCTTTCTCAGAGAAACAAAGAGGCCATCTCACTTTGCTAGCTCCTCCATGTGCCTCTGTAAAATTCCCAAGTAGCTATCTAGTTTTGAATTCACACTCACATCAAAGTACTGACCTGCTCAAACATTTTAAATTGACACTTTTATGTATTCATTTCTTTAAATAATGGATAATGTGAGTCCACCATGCTAGGGCAGCCTTTAGTCTCAGCACTGGAAAGACAGAGGCAGGCATATCTCTGTGAGATCAAGGCCAACCTGGTCTACATAGTGAGTTCCAGGCCAGCTGGGCCTATAAGGAGACCCTGTCTTGAAAAGACCAATAATAATAATAATAATAATAATAATAATAATAAATAATAATGGAAAATGTGGTTAAATTTCATACATGTTCATCTTATACTTTGAGTGTAATAACCTCTCAGTGCCCTTACCCTCACCTCCTTGTCCCCTCAGCCTGGGTGATTTCCCATGACCTTCGTAATTCTAACAGTGCACGTGGGATTTAGATATAGACCTTAAGTCTTTATAGACCTTAAGTATTTATGTATTACTACATTCGCTATTTATTAATTTAAACATTTACACTGTTTTGGTGCTGGAAACTGAATTTAAGACTTGAAGCGTACTGAACAAATTTTGTACAAGGAACCAGCACTCCCAACCTTGTTTTCTTATCTCTAAACAATGCATCATTCAATGAGCCTGGACCTACAGTCTCGCGTTGCTGTCTCGGGATGTCTTGTTGATGCCGCCCTTTAACCTCCATGTGCTAGGCATAGCTAACTGCCCACCACACCTTAAAACCCGGCGTGATAGGGCGAGTTTTTAATCCCAGCACTCAGAAGGCAGGAAGACATCCCTGAGATCCAGGCGAGCCTGCTCTACTTAGCGAGTTCCACGCCAGCTGAGGCTACCAGGGAGACCCTGTCTCAAACAAACAAAAAAACCCCAAACCCAAAACACATTCCTTATTGTGCCTATTACTCAAGTTTTGGCTACTTAACTCCTCAATTTGTGGGGATCAAATCGGGTCTCACCGTATTTGTTTGCGTTTCTCTGCCTAGAGCCTTCTAAGGCCCGTCAGTATGGACAAAGAGCCAACTCTTCATTCAGAACCCAAAGTTTGTCTTTAATCCTCCTCTACTTTTTCACTCTCTGATGAATTGCGGCTGCTTTTTTCCTTTTTTTTGTGTGTGTGTGTGTGTGTGTGTGTGTGTGTGTGTGTTTGAGACACGGTCTCCCTGTAGCCCCAGCTAGCCCAGAACTCTCGATGTAGACCAGGCTAGCCTCGAACTCAGTGACGCAACTGCCTCTGCCTCCCGAGTGTGTCACTACGCCCAGCATCAGGGCTCGTTTCTGAGACCAAAATACCTTCCCCACCCCAAGACAAACGGAGGTACACTGAAGCCCACTTGCCTGCCTGTACCTGAGTACAAACCCCATTATTATTTAGTGGGGTACACTCTTGTAAGCACACATTCGGGGTCCTTACCTGGATCGCAGCCGACTCCAGCAGCTTGTGGAGGAGCTTGTGGAGGAACTTTCCAGAAGCTTGTGGAGGAGCATGAACACCACACGTCTGTCACGAGGAGGGCGTGGGGGTGGGGTAAGACCGAGCTCCGCCCCTTCCCACAGAAGAGAGAGTGACCGCATCTGGCCAGGGGCTGGCTCCCTAAAGATTGACAGCAGTTCTAGGTTGCTATGGAACCCCACTGATGCGTAGCCAGTATGGGGGAGAGCATGCTCTTCCACAACCCCCCACGGTTTTCTCAATGCACTGCACACCCAGATCCCTGCCTGAGCCTCTGAAATCTCCACTGTAGCCCATGCTCCACCTACCCCACCATATCCCCATCCTCTCCTTAATACCCCCTGACACCTGACACTTTTGTGTGCCCTGCTCTTGGTTGTCTGCACAACCTCCTCCTCTAGAATTTGACTCTCAGCTTTCAGGTAGACTTGTCTGCTTTTCTGAGGGATGGGGAGTATGAGACTGAGGGTTAAAAAGTTCACAAATTCCGTCTGGTAAATCGCAACCAGGAATACTTTCTATACAGACTAAGATCTTTCTTGCTTTGCACCCAAGTCCACCAGCTGCAGACACAACCCTCCCATAGTTCTTGGCGTGGAAGTCTAGATCTACTGCAGTGGTTGACAGATTTCTCTCAGGACTCATTGGGCTAGAAAAAGCAGTTGGGTCTTCTAAGGCTGTCTTCTAGAGATTGAAGTGTCATAATCAAGGAATTTCTCCCTATACTGACTGAAGTCTCACAATGTTCATAGGAAGCCACACCTTTCTGAGTGCCAGAGAAGTGATCTGGGAAAGTCTCACATGGTGGCTACATCCTGAGCCTCCAAGGCATTGCCGCAGGGCCTGGACTCTGTGAGCCTCCCTGATTGGTAAGCAATTGCTATCACCCCTACAGGGGTGTCTCAGTCTGACTTTGGTTTTGAACAAGAACCCTGCCTTTTAGAACTTGGGGCGGGGGGAGGCTGCCCATTATATCCTATTAGGCTGCTTTCTATGACGTTCCAGGCAGAGATGGAGAGCGCCCCAAGCTTGGTCTATTACTTCCACAATGTTGAATATGGGAATCCCGAGATTCTTCCTGATCTTGGGCCACTTTCCTCCAATTTAGAATTGAACTCTTTTCAGTACCTTAAGTGGATGTCTATATTCACTCCCCCATTAAAATCAGTTTTTCATCCCTCAACATTTCCAGAAACATGGTTGGGGGTTTTGAGGTACCTGCGATAAGTTCTTCTGATTCTTCTCATTTTATTCTAGTTAAAATCAAGAATCCTGACCCTTAAAGGTCATGGCCTTTCACTTTCAACACCCTGCAGGAGCAAATAAATGGTAGCTTGTCCTCAGAGTTGTGCCTAGAAATTCCCAAGGCTAGCAACAAAAATCAAGTCTTATAGTCTTTTCTATAATGTATTCGTTTTATTTATCATTACTATTGATTTATTCATTTTCAGTATGTGTGTAGGGGGTGATATTTGTATGCATGTGTGTGTGTGTGTGTGTGTGTGTGTGTGTGTGTGTGTGTGTGTGATGGTACACAGGTGGAGGTCAGAGGACAATTTTGCAAGTGAGTCCTCTCCTTCCACTGTCAGATCTGGTAATTGAATTCAGGTCATCAGGCTTGTGGGGTTAGCACCTTTTTTTTTCTTTTCTTTCTTTTTTTTTTTTTTTTGGTCTTTTTGAGACAGGGTCTCCCTGTAGCCCCAGCTGGCCTGGAACTCACTATGTAGACCAGGCTGGCCTTGAACTCACAGAGATCTGCCTGCCTCTGCCTTCCAAGTGCTGGGATTAAACGGTCTCCCTGTAGCCCCAGCTGGCCTGGAACTCACTATGTAGACCAGGCTGGCCTTGAACTCACAGAGATCTGCCTGCCTCTGCCTTCCAAGTGCTGGGATTAAACGGTCTCCCTGTAGCCCCAGCTGGCCTGGAACTCACTATGTAGACCAGGCTGGCCTTGAACTCACAGAGATCTGCCTGCCTCTGCCTTCCAAGTGCTGGGATTAAACGGTCTCCCTGTAGCCCCAGCTGGCCTGGAACTCACTATGTAGACCAGGCTGGCCTTGAACTCACAGAGATCTGCCTGCCTCTGCCTTCCAAGTGCTGGGATTAAACGGTCTCCCTGTAGCCCCAGCTGGCCTGGAACTCACTATGTAGACCAGGCTGGCCTTGAACTCACAGAGATCTGCCTGCCTCTGCCTTCCAAGTGCTGGGATTAAA